AAAGTTTAATCAGAGTACTTTTTGTTTAAAGCGAGAAAACAATTTTTGAAGTTGAACTCTCGCACCACTACCCGGCGTCGCTTCTTAACGCCTCTTTGCCGCACAGCACGTCACCTGCGACGATAGCCGAAGCGATTAGGTCCAAAGAACCAACGGAGTTTGCTGCCCGCTTCCCCTCGTCCCTCTTTTCTGGCTGTAAGGGAAGAAACGGCGGGTATCGTGTACTAATCGGAGCAGAGCCGTGTATTGGGAGAGTTTGGCCAATAGGCGGAGCAAAGGCCGCCGCCAGCGCCGAATATTCCCCCCGCGCTTTGAGTGTAAACTAAATTTGTGACACAGCGTCGACCAATCAGGAGACCGCGACGTCACAATATTGCAAACGACATTCAAAGCGTGCAATAGAGGCGTTCAATCTCGGCCTCTCTGCTCCATCTCACAAATGTCGGCAGTGAAGACAAAAGTACAGGCGCGTGAACCTAGCTCAGCACAACGCTTTTGTTTGTACGAGAACTCGTGCATAGGAGGCACTTTCCAAAGCCACGCGCTCGTGCCCATACCTTTCTCTGCACTGCTGATGTTGGCTTGTTAGAACAGCGTCCTGTGACTGGCGGAAAGAAAACAGTGCAAAGGGTGGGGCGCGCGAGCGTCTGGAGACGCGGTGTCCCGCTCGGCTCGTGCGCTGGCTTTGGCAGTGCTTTCTTTCACCGTCTCAGCTGAGACGCTGTTTCTAGCAAGTTGGCCCTGGTTTGGAGCGCACGTTCGTTTATTCTACACTTGAATATTGGCGTGACGAACACCTCGCACGCACAAAGTTTTCAGTCACTGAGAGTCACACCTTTTAACTCTAGCGACGCTAAAACGGCTTGAATTAGTCGTGTCACAAATTTAGAGCTCACGACCACCGCTAGGGGCTGTTTCGCGGCCTGTGGTTGGCCCCGAGACGCTCGCCTATTCAAACCAATGTATGGCCAAACTCTCTCGATAAACGGCTCTGAATCGGAGGTGCCGCCAGTGCGCCGCCATAGCAGGACAGGTTGTGACCTTTGTACCCGAGGGCGGCTCCTCACACTCCGAAACGCGATGCCTAATCGACGGGCCGTTTCACATGGAATGACCCCTTATTGTATGCCACGGAGCTATAATAACAGTACCGGGCAAAAAGGCCTCGGATATTATCTTTTCTCGAAAGAAAGGAGCATGGCAAAGAAAGGTAAAAAGAGGAGGACAGAGCGGCAGGAAAAAAAAATGGCGTTTTACGATTTGTTTTGCGATTTCCTTCGTAATCAGCTAAAATGTGTACGATTACAGTGCAGGAGACAGAGCGTGCCAATGTATTCCGTACGCTGGAATCTCTCTGAGCATTCGCTTCGTAGCGGTCTATCCGTTGGTCTATGTCAAATGCGACCTCCATACTGCTTTGCCGGAGGCCGGTTTTAATACACTGTTTTCTCGATGTATTTTGGTGGGACAACATGTTTCAATGACAACTATGCCTCAAAAAATCAAAACACTCATGAAAAAAAAAAAAGAGCAGCGATTTTTGATATACATTACTTACAATAAAACAACCTTTTTTTCGGAAGCAGTCTTCATTTACTTTTCTCATACAAACGTGAAAACACCACATAATGCAATTTGGAAGTGCAACCCTTACCGCCAAAAATGTAACAAACGAACCTCATCCATTTTGTGGTGGTCTATTAAGCTGACGTTACTTGTCCATTCTGCATTAACACCAATCAGGACCGTAGAAAAACAGCCTCCTTCGTCGGGCGAATGTTAGCGTTCCGAGCTTGCGCAAACAAAATAAAACGGAATAGAAACTCTACACGAAAAATAACCTCTACCCCAAACTTTACGGTATCTGGCATGGTTGCTTCTTTGATGCCAATCGTTTCGACGCGTCAGGCATGGCCTTTCTGTGGGTAATTGTTTTTGTGTGTGCAGGCTTCTCTCGCAGTTCATCTGTACCCTGTCGCACAGCCGGTCAACCAGAATGAAACAACTTTTAGAAAACTATCGCTCACCGGGAAGGTCTATCGAGCTCCTCTTACTCCAATATTGATTAAACGCGATGCACAAGACTGAGCACTACCAAGCTCAGTTTTTCACCAACAGATTTGATGCTGTTCCGCGGTGCTACACCGAGCCGATGGTCCCTCGCATGTTCTTGTTCTTGGCCACTGCACTAGATGTTCCCTCGCTTACAGGTTAATTGACACGTCCGAGCAGCCGGAATGCTCGAGTTGCGGCGTCGTTGTTCGTCTCCCGCGGCCGCACCGCGTGAACGGCTGTGGGCTCACGCGTTCGCGAAGACGAAGAAGCAGACGACGACAAAGCAGACGACAAAGCGATAAGGCGACTGGAACCGCTTTTCTGCGCTTGCTGACACACCGCACTCTGTTTCATACTTAGTGCGCAACGCTGTCAAAGCTACTGGCGCGAGCATGGGGCTCGACCTCGTTGATCATTTGCACGAGTTCCCGCGCAAACAAAACCATAGATGAAGTCACGCGCTCGCGCCAGTAGCTTCGTCAGCGTTGCACGCTCAGTATGAAACGGAGTACAAGGCATCATAACAACACAATCTTATGAAGAGCAGATATGCAAGATAATCTATGATGATGTGCGCGCAGTCCTATGTAGCCGGGAAGCCGGAAAGGGATGACTACAAGGAGCATGGCGGCGGCACCACTTCCGGAATGCGCGCGCCTGCGCAGTTCGCTTGGTGACATTGGTCTGGGATCACCCTTTCCAGACTGCGCCGAGGATGCGGGGCAGAGGAACCTTTAGGACACGGCGTGTGTTTAAACCCATCCCCCTTTCTCCCGTTTTTTTTTTTTTTTTTTTTTTTTTTTTTTTTTCTGGAGGATCGGTTTTTTTTGTTTTGGGGGAGGCGGGGGGTGTATTCAACAATAATATTTGTGTCCCTCGTTAACAGTAACCCTCCATTGCTTTCACTTTGCACCCAAGCGTGAGGTTGTGACAAAATGCAGAGGTGGTCGAAACTCGAAGAAGACCTTGAGAACGACACTCCTGTGAGACTTCGAGGCCACTAGGCTCTTTCCTTTCAGGGATCCCTTCCGTATCCCCTGGTAGTTCTATGTAACCTCGGATTAATTTTAGTCCTTTCGATAGTTCTATTCTGAAAGACAACTTTCTGAGCCAGTTCAGCAACAACGAAAACATGTCGGGGTGCCTCAACGATGTGTGTACATGTAAAATGGGCCGCGCAACTCTTTTTTTAATCTCCAGAAAATACCGTTAATAAGTAATTATTGACGTTGATAACTTGCAAAAATATCCATTAGTTTTCCCCTCCAGGAAACGGCAGATGACAAAAAAAAAAAAAAAAAAAACAGCTTTCCCCTGCTCAACTAGCAGCTAGAACAAGCGACGACGTGATCTGACCCTAACAGCTAACTATATACCCAAAACACAGTGAGGGCGACTCTCAGTGCGAAATCGTGATGTCATGTTACCTCACGGCGTGAACAACGTTAATAAATCTGGTGACCTTCTCAATTTAAATCGACGTAAAGCATTGAGTCACCTGACGCCACGGGGTCCCGTGACGTCACATGACCACGACCACATCACACGGTTAATCATAGTGAAAATATAAAAGCGCCACGAAAACCCACAACTTATGATACATTGCAATTCCGTGTGCGCTCCGTGCGGGAACTACGGGGGCCGCTTTGAAAAACGCGCGTAGCGCCACTAGCGGACGAGCTGGCGTTCGACGGTGAGACGCGTTCGGCGGAATGCGGCGCCTTTTCGCGTGCGAAGCTGCGGCGGCGGAAGCGCGCACGGACGGAACTCCGGGTTCCTCGGAGCCGACACGTCGAGGGTGACGTTGCACGAGGGCAGGGAAATACCTCTAAAGTCATCTAGCTGTCCTCGAAACGCAATTTTACATCTTCTATCAATCACAGTGCACGCTGGCTTCCGACGAGAAACCTTCCCGGCTTCTAGAAAGTTTCACTGCACTTTTTCACGAACTTGACGAGGCATTGATATCCTGAAATTAAATCTACGAATTCATTGAGCTCAGGATGGAGAATAAAAACCAATATGATTTAAATCGTGATTTAAGCCACACCAATTTCATTATGAGGATTTGCCACAAAACACCTTTTTCCAGGAAATAACTTTCCGCAAAACTAATACCGTAAACATTTTTTTTCATTATTGTTTGTAATTTGATGCCGTCCATATTTTTTTTTTTTTTTTAATTCGAGAAATATCAGGCAAATAAAAAAGTACACCAGGCTGAACGCGAGCACTTCTTTCGTTCATTACGTGGCTAATTGTGCAAGCATATTAGAATGCGAAGGAAACTAACAAAAACTTGTATGTGTGCGTGCCCATAGACCGTAAAGGGAGTGACTGAGAGAGACGGGCACAGGCAGATCTAATTGTACAAGGTTGATCTCACATCGGTCAGTATCTATACGTTTTGTTTTACGCAAGGTTGCCACTTTTTCCTGAAGTTGTGCCACCACCTCGCGCACTTTAAAGCAAAAAGAAAAAGTCGCTGTCGTTAAACAACTCTCTAACTGTGCTCGAGTTCAAAGGACATCATTTTACGTCGTTGAATAGACAGGGTGTTTCACGAAAGGTGGACAAATTCGATATTGCAAAAACTACGCATCGCACCGAAAAAAAAAAAAAAAGACGTGTTGTCTTGGTTTTAGGTTAGGTTCCTCTTTAGGAAAATTAATAAAGTTTCCCACATTCTTTCCTTCCACATCATTCTCTCGGCTCCTTTTACTTCCTTTTCCACGGAGGTAGTCTGCCCTGGCCCGGCACTTGAATGTTGGCATTTGAATTTCAATTTTCGGGTTCGGTTTGACCATTTGTTACCGCGTGCCCGCGGTTGCCAGACCGGCACCCAAACAAAGCCTTGTCCGTCCACGGTGGCCAGACTAGATCTCGAAGCCTGGCTGCTTCCAAAGCAACAGAGGGTGTGCAGGAGGAGCCCCTGCTGCACTCACCTGGGTTGTCAGGCTTTGAAATCCAAATTTGCGTTGAAAGAGGCGTACAAACTGCGACACGTAGGCTCCCTCCCAGAGACCCCGTATGGCTTCACACGGATTCCCATCTGGAACAGAGAAGAAAAGGCGCCACCAGTCAACCACAAACTCCACACACAACGGGCATTGCATGATCCCCGGAATGTACCAGAGAATGCCCATAAATAACCACCAGTTATCGCTTTGCTGGTGGATGTTGCAGGGTAAAAGAGCGTCAAAGCAAATGAAAACCCTAGTACAGTCAGAAAGCGAGACAACACGTACGTTAAATTAAAAAAAAATACAAAAAAAAAACGGTTAATGTGCAGGCGAGCTGGTGGGAGTTAATGATGATTGAAACCCGAGACTATGGTTTGAAAAACTTCCTCCTTTACGAGTGTTCCGTTTTTCAAACAACAGTCTCAGGTTTCAATCATCAGCTATAGTGTATGTTAACTTTGCTAATTGGTGAAAGCAGCCAACCGGCTAATGACAGGTACCACAACAAACAAGGAAACACGGAATAGACACTGGCTGTGGTACCATGTGTACACTGGTTGAGGAAACATTGGAGCAGGTAGCAGAACAAACATTTTTGGGCGTCTGGTTTGGTGAGCATTTATCATGGAATTGTCATGTAAACAAACTAAAAGCTGATTTATCCCGGGTAACAGGATGCATTTATAGAATACAAAATTTGATACCGACCTGGTTAAAACACATATATTATTCCTTATTCTACTCCAAAATTAGTTATGGTATTCTGGTCTGAAGAACGACTACAGTGGCGAATTATACTAAAATTATCCTTTTGCAAAAAAAAAAAAAAAAAAAAAGATCTTACGAATGTGTGAAAATTATAAAGGGGATACCAGAAATTAAAGGACACAGCCACTCTTCATCAAATGTAATATGCTTAAGGCAGATCAAATATATTACATCAAACTTTTACTATGGATACGTAAAAATAGACTTTACACCACACCAGCGAACATCCTAAGTGCATATCCGATTAAAAATCGAAAGCGAAGGATGCCGGCCATAAGAACCAACTATGGTAAACAAACTTTGATTTTTCAAACTAAAACTCTAAATAGAACGAAGTCAACGAATCTCAACATTAACTTTAAATACCCCTTTTCTGGTATTAAAAGGGATTGTAAATTCTCTTGGTTGGCAGTGAAATCGCATTCTTATTTGGATAGTGTATTTCTCCAATAAAATAATCACTAGGTATAGCTAATTTCAAAGATACATGTTTTCATTGATTTCCTTCGTGTGAGCTTGCTGCTGATGCTAATATGTCGGAGGTACATAAGATTGCATTCTAGTTTTTTGTCTGCTGTTACTGTTTTCAGTTCTTACTGACGTTAATAGTGTTCTTTTAGCAAATGAATGTAGTGTCTATTTTCCCTTGTTTCTTATACTCGTTTTTCTTGTTTTATTTTAATTGCATAATGCTTTGTAGAATCGGTTATTATGTAACTACTTTGAGCTGCTGAACTTTAGGGGACAGAGGCTTTGTCAGGCACCATGCCTTTATCTCTGCCCCCTACGCGGCAAACCCACAAAAAAAAAAAATGAAAAAGGTTTCAGCAGTTTAATGAAGGTGAACGGATGTTAGTTTTACTTTGTGAAATACTGCATTTAGTTCTTGCTTTTGGTGCTTTGCCGTCAGTTTCCTCCGGTAGTTTGTCAATATCACGCGGTGGTGGAGTTTTGCTCACCCAGAATGGATAATGGTCGACAATCTAATAACGTAGACTACAATTCATTACGACACATCCGCCGTTCAGAAGTTTTGTCGAGACCCTAGCATTTAAAGAAAAAAAATCATTAGCCTTGCGACAGGGTCCGTCGTGTGTACACTGTAAAAAAATGTTTGTAATATAACAGGAGATATCCGGAAAACTTCGGTCAAAGTAAGGAAACTGTTCTGCTGAATTAATATACAGACAATCTTATCAGTTAAAAAAAACAGGGCTTATGTTATCCGTCGAGATCATAAGTTCTTTGGTAAATAAACAGTAAAACAAATACTTGCATTATTGGTAAAACAAAAAGGTTTTATTACACTAAGAAAACATTGTTTTTTCCTCGAATGAACGTTATGGAAAACGTCCCGTCCTCCGTAGGAAAACAGAGCTATGTTATTTCCAGATCCCAAACATTTTTGGTGAATAAACAGGGTAAACAAAATCAAATTAATGTAAAAAAAAGCTTTTTTTTTATTTTTGCAAAATGGATTATCATTAGATCAGTGAACGAAGTCACAGTTAATATAAAATATTTTATGAAGGAACTTTTGTTCGCAATACGGGCTATACCGAATGGGTTAAAACAGCGCAAAAAAGACTGACCAGTAAAAGGAAACACCCAGACACAGCGCTGTGTCTGTGTGTTTCCCTTTACTTGTCCTTCGTCTTTTTTGCGCTGTTTTAACCCATTCAATATGACCATCAACCAACTCGCCCAACTTTACACCTTGTGACGGGGTATACCGTCGAGACCGGTTACAACGAAATAGCGGATATATCGAAGTGATTTCCGATTCCCGTTGACTCTGTTATAACCGGTCTCAACAGCAGCACAAAAGAAGTGAGCAGTCCCGTTTTAATCCACAGTAGTCAGAGCGGCAGCCGCGACAAGCCACGGCGAAGTCGTTGGGCGTCGCGTTCACGCACCGTGGTGAACGAAAGCGTTCGGAACAAAAATAGACATCTGACCATCTCGTTACTGGCTATTTCTTCGTAGTACTTTTCCCAGAGAGGCGGCGCGCAGTGAGGATTGGGTTACCACAAAAATTGCGAAGTCGTGTGTGAACCCACAGTACATGTCAGAGCGATGACTGGGACTCCTACTTTTGTGGTATCTTCATTCGTAGCCTAGTAGAGTTCTCCAAAAGCGCGTCTTGTTTTACGGCAATATACGGGTAATTTAATTTTAAAACTGATTTTTTTTTTTTTTTTTTTAGGAAAAGAGTGTACGGCTGTTGCACGTTTCCTCCCGGTGAGTTCGGGGGTTCGGAGGACCTTAGATGGGAGGCTAATCGTAGCAGTATTCGAATATTTGACTAAAGTCTAATAATTGCTATAGCCTCTAATAGGAATAAGCGTCAATACTAATCGGTATCAGAAATCAATTAATGAATTTTAGTTAATTAATCTACTCTGGCATTTCTGAAGGCACTGTATTAAGACATATAAACCATATTCTAGGAAAATTTCGAAGAAATATGAAGTAGGAGTAATATTTGGCCAGCCTCTACGTGTTTATGGGACAAATGTCGCACTAAATAAAGGGGGGTAAGTTATATGAGCACGGTTTTCATAGGGTGTTTACATGGCTCGGCGGACATTAGACGCGCGTTGCCGAGCGAGCGAGCGCGTGGCCGAATGGTTTACCGTGCACGCCTGTCGCGCGGAGAATCCAGGTTCGGTTCCAGTGAACTGAATGTCATTTTATTTATTCTTTCTTCAACCTGGCGTTCTCGTGAGTTCGAGAACCTTCTCGTCGGATCGAGTTACGAATGTTCTGCGCCCAACGTTCCAGAAACTCAGGCGGGTACAAAAGGTGCTCCGCGGAGCGAGCCGCAGTCAGTCAGTCTCGCCCCACAGTTCGATCTTGCTGTTACGCCGCCATCGACGCGAGCCTTTTCTATTTTGTTTTGGGCACAAGTTCGTCCCATGAAACGTTTAGTTCCTTCACTTATCATCGCCGCATTGGTTATATTCTCATTCGTGACAATATAACATTCCTATTGTTGGACTAATTAGATAAAATTCGTTAATTACCTTTTCAATAGACCGATCTCACCAGCCAGTTTGACTACGCCACCGCTGCCGCAATGCATCGAGGGAACTTTAGTCTTTTTGCACGTGCGACAACCTCGCTGGAGCTCTTCGCGTGTAGAGCACGAGAAGGCACGAGCCCACGCGTGCACGGCCGTCTGCCTCCTGTTGTACTCCTGTGAACTAAAGTTATGGCTGCTTTACGCATGCGCCCAACGCTTAGTGAGATCGGTCTATTACTGTAATCAGGATATATGTTCATAATACAAACTTTCAGGCGGTCGTATGCCAAGATTGTTCCATTTTGTAGAATTTGCGAAACCAGCCCGTGTTCCGAGATATCTGCCACCAAATGTTCTACTTCGTCCGACTTGTTACCCACTCAATTCGGCGTTATCCGGATAAAAGTGCAAAATCCGGGTCCGAATATCGCGGAACACGAGGCTGGTTACGCGAATTTTACGAAATGGAACAGTCTTGGCATACGACCGCCTCGTCAAAGTTTGTAATATAAACGTATCTCCTAATTGCAGTGAGTAAAAAGTTGATTAACGAATTTTAATTAATTAGTCCGATAATTGGAATGTTTATATTTCCGTCTGATGAACACCGAGCCATGTAAACCCGCAATAAAAACCGCATTCCTGTAACTTTTTCCCCCTTTATCTAAAAATTTAATGCAGCTAAAAGAAAGGAAAAAAAACACCCTATATAGCGATCATTCGTAGAGGACGGTACGTGATTTGGCTGTTAGTGCATTGTAGTGTATTGAGAGATTCAACGGCGAGGTAAATACCAGCGGATTCCAGGGACGCAGACCGCCGGTATTTATCGCTATAAAACGTTTTTTTTTTTTTTTTTTTTTTTTTTCAACTTGGAAAAGAACCGAGACTGTTTTTTGTCCCAAACTTCCAGAACAGAATCAGGTTTGTTGTTTTTTTATAAAACTCTGTTCCACACATTTAAAAACAGAAACAGTTTTTTCTACTAGGCTGGGCAACAGAAAGTCAGTCATTTTACAGATAAAACACCTAAAAATATTTTAGCAAAAATTACGGAAACAGAGAAACAGCCGAAAACAGATATTTTGTAACAAAACGCTGCCAAGATTTTTTTTTACAGTTATTTTTTTACGGTGTAGCTACTAAGCGAGCACATTCAAAAGTCACACACTCGAGTATTTTTTTTTTCTTAAAACTTCCCGACTACACAACCAATAATGCTAATGCTCGTAAAAAATCTAGACGTTTGCTCAAAATAAAGATTTAGCGACAAAAGCGGAATTACAGCCATCTCTT